TACAGTCCACAGGACAAAAATGCAAAGAACCTGTTGTGTGCTGTCCCAGCCCCATTAAGGTTTCCCAGGCAAGAATTTGTATGGAAGCAGATTGACAAGTCTTTTCTCTAGCCAGCAGTTTTTGGGTTTGAACTGCTGTACTTTGGGTTAGCAGCCAAGCACTTAACCACTGTGCTACCAGGGCACCTTACAGAGAATCTAACATTTCTTTAATTCATGTCCACTTATATTCCTCTACAAAGGAATTCCTACATAAAGCCTATATTAAAAAATATAAATAAAATAAATAAAACTTTTTTTAAAAGACGGAAAAAAAAAAAAAGAATAGAAAAAGACCGCATTGGTATGGTTAAATTCTTAGGACGCCACTTTTTTAGGAATGGACTAAATGGCTGGTGTAGCCTCTTACAAAAGTGGCTTGAACTTGATGGAGTTTGTATTTAGAAATAAAATTTATATTTTTAATTTATATATATATAATGTTTCCAAGACACAACAGTGGTCATAAATTAAAAACACAATATTGTAATACTTTCCTACAAGTGACTGCCATCAAACTTTAATAACTGGAAAAGTGGGGAAAACATAAAACTTTTCTCTATGTAGCTTTTATTTAAAAAATAAATAAAATTACTTGTGACAATTACATGCAAGGCTGTTTTTTAACTCCCTTCTTGGGGACTGAGGCAATCAAAATTTAAATATGCCCTCAATGTAGTAAAAAGATGACTTGCTGGTCAGTGAGCAGCCACCAATGAATATCAATTAATAAATGTTGTCACCTAGAATTGTCTTAGTTGCATAAGGTTTTGTCTTTGGCCCTATCATTTGCAGTTTAAATCAACAATAAGGGTGAAAAACACAGGAAAAAGTATTCCTAGTGGACAACAGTCCAGTCTTTTACTGGGAACTTCAAGAGGTACACATCCCCATGTTATAAGGAAGCTGATTTCACTTCTGGAAAACCTGTTTTCATACTAAATACTTTAGCCTAATAATCTACGGCTACACAAAGTTAACTTCCTTATCAATGAAAAATACTTTGATTCATGATCAAGTCCATTTATTCCAATATTATTCTGTAACAAGACTATTCCAAACCCAATTTCAACTCTTTCAAATGTTTTCAAAATGCTCTAGTTTATTCATGTTCATTCTTGAAGTGTGATACATAGTGTAGTGTCAATCCAAAGTCTCCAACAGTAGATAATGATTAATAACTTGTACTAGAATATGATACAACAGTGCTACACAGCAATAGAAGCCTAATGGCTGGCAATTCTCCTGAGAATCTTTCCATCTTCGTAGCAAACCATGGGTCAGATTTGGCTGTTACTCATGACAAAACACATGATCACCCAATAAATACATACATGTCATAATAATTTGGTTTCATAGCTTGGCTTCTAGTTGAAGAGATAAACCTCTAGAATTGACTAGCAATAAATGTAAATGTCCCTTTAATAGTAACCTGAGCTAGATTACCCATGTTTTGGTATGTGGCACTAGTGAAGGAGATGGGGAAAAAATTTCAGGAGGGACAGGCAAGATGTTATATATAAATAATTCTGCAAGAGGGATTCTAACTTCTTATAATGCAGTACATTCTCATTTGATTCTACCGTGGTAGAAATGCCGAGCCTCGGGTGTACAATGGGTTTCTTGTTGGGCTGATAACTGCAAGGTCATCAGTTAAAAACAACAGCCACTCCAAGGGAGAGAGATGAGGCTTTCTACTCTCAGAAAGATTTACAGTCTACTGTCCTACAGAGTTGCTATGAGGTGGAACTGACTTGATGGCAAGTGAGTTTTTCGAGTGGTAGAGAAAGAAAACTGCAAATGAAAAATATCTAGTTTCCAACTTTAAGACCTTACATTCAGGACAATGTATTTACCACAAACATACTTAGACTCAATCCCTTACTTCTTTCCTCTCCATTCCTCTGCACCTGACTTATCCATTTTCTCTCTTCAGATTTAAGGTTCATGTACTTAAACACCTCAGTTCCCCATGTCTCCTTCTAGGTAATAAGCTCATTCTACCCCCTTGCCCCACCTCACACATCTTAAACTCTTCAGGAATAATGTTTGGCAATGTTTGACAATCTAAATTGTCTGTTTGACAATCTGAAGAGACGATGGGAACAATGGTGAGGTTTAGGGAATTAGCAATAGTAGTGAGTGCCCAAGGGTAATTATCTGGAAGAGGGTTAACCAGAAGGACCTTCAAACAGACTTTATAAGACCACAGAGATGCCCAGATATGTTGTGTATGAGAAAGTTGAGAAGTGACATTGGAAGCATGGTGGGGACACATTATCCTGTTTACCAAAAAGACCCAAATTCACTGCCACTGAGTTGATACAGACTCACAGCAACCTTATAATATAGGGTAAAACTACCCTTATGAGTTTCCGAGACAGTTAACTCTTTATGGGAGTAGAAAGCCCCATCTTTTACCTCCAGGGCGGCTGCTGGTTTCAAAATGCTGACCTTGCAGTTAGCAGGCCAACTAGGAACCACTGCCACCAAAATGGAATTTCAGTAAGGGAATAATTAAATCAGATTTGTTTTATCCATACAAAAGCAACAGCATTATGGAACCAGTTAAAACCTCTGTATTGTGGTAGTTTCCAGCAAACCTTCATAGAGACGTGCTCTAGTTCATAAAGCAACTAAGAAAAAGAATATTTACTAGTAAAGGGTAGTTTCCTCAGTTCGAGAACCTGACTCAGTGCCCACTGGGAAAGTTAACAATATTATGTGCCAGAGTTTCTTCTAAGTACTGCATGACCTCATTAATCTTCCTAAAGTCAAAAGGCAGGAAACTCAATGTTCTCATTTTACATAGAAAATTGAAGCTCAGAGCGTTGAGTAATTTACACAAGGTCATATAACTAGAAATAGTAGAGCCTAGGTTAGAACCCATTAGAACCTTGAACGCAGAGCTCCAGTTCTCAGCCACTATACAGTTCTGCTCCCTTGGTCCTGGTGACACTATTGCGTAAGCACTGGATTGCTAACCAAAAGTAAGGTGGTTCAAACTGACCACTCCTCGGAGAATGATGAAGTTATTTGTTCCCAGAAAGATTTATAGCCTCGGAAACCCTATACAAAGGTCTCTATGCATCAGAATCAACATCAGGGCAGTATGTTGGTACAACGACAACAAAAAAAGCCGGCTATCAAATCTTTATTCATTTTACAATAATTTTGATTTTCATGTTAGAATAAAGCTAATCAGTAAAGACACCTAAATCATCTACTGATGAATGAACTCTGATGAGTCAGAAAGGGATCTACTGAAGGCACAAATGAGAACTACAAAGGCTCAACCACCCCAGGCGATAAGCCTTATTTAAGAAGTAGAAGAAATCAGTTCTATCACACACCATTGGGGTGAGAAGAAAGTGAAATAATTAAATGCACACAAGCATCTGTAAATCACTTTAATCTATTCGGTCCTGTTTTTTGTTCAATACAAAAGTATAGGTTTGAAAAATCTAACAGGAAGACCATATTCTCAACACAATTGCAACTGGTAGTGTTAATTAATGGAAAATCGATCTGTGTGGAGTCCTGATGGTGTGTGTACTGGGTTATGCACTGGGCCATTAACCACGAGGTTAGCAGTTTGAAAACACCAGCCACTCCTGGGGAGAAGGATGAGGCTTTCTACTCCTGTAAAGACATATAGGCCTGGCAATCCACCGGGGCAGTTCTACTCTGTCCTGTAAGGTCAATAGGAGTCAGAATTGACCTTGTAGAAATGGGTTGGAGACAGAATGTGTACAACTAAAAGCAAAGAAAGGTAAATGATGCCCCAAAGATATTTTCCTCACACTTTACAACTAGCTGTGGATGAAATTTTCTCAGAATTCAAAACATACTTCTGAGATATTAAGTGTCAAGAGCCAAATGCTGAGAACTGCAGCAAATAGAAACATCACTTTCCTTTCCCCTACCCATCCAAGCACATAGGCAAAGGAAGCAAATGCCCAGGCAGCCACACCCTCCAAGAAGCCTTCCTTGATGTCTCCAGTCAGAATTGATCAGCCCACCCTCTAAATGTTCTCACAGCACATCGGTTGTTTTGCTGGCATTTCATTCTGACTGGAATCAGATTAATATTTGCTTCTAAGCATCACTTCCTAACTTTTGAAACCACCTCAGACCCTGTAAAAGCTTATTGGATGGGTCTCAAATGTTTGCTCAGTGAAGTAGCCATTTCTCAATTCTAAACCTCCTGTGTCATTTCAGAGCCTGCAGTTGGAGTACACACCTGGAAAACATCACAGATCACAGTTAAAAACCTCCTCATTCTAAACGGGCAAGAAACGCTCTTTAAGCAACCAAATGGAAGGAGGCGCGGATGGAAATGAAAGTGAGAAGCGAACGTTTTAAAAACTTTCAAGACTCCCGTTTCCAATTCAAAAGCACTTTCTCCCCGTTTTCTCACAAACCTACTAAAGGCACTACAACGCGAGGGTACTCTCTGTCCTGACCGGCCCTTGGGATTAAAGGACCACACCTCGTATTCGGAACACTACTCAGGACTATTGTTTGCTTTTCACATTCTGAACCCACACCCAGAGCCAAAGGCATCCTCAAGGCCAGCTTCAAAAGCAGAGGATCTTGCCTGATAGGCCCAAAAATAGGACCAGTCCAGCTGTGCCGGGAGCAGAGACACCGGGGCGGGAGCCTCCTGGATCGTGTGCTTTTGGAGCACACGGCGTAAAACGGTTTCCGATTCGTTTGGGACCGGCTTCCCCAAACCGGCGCCGGCCCGCACGAGGCCGCCTTCCCTCCCACCCACAGGCCGCTGTCACGCACATCCTCGGGGCGCCTGGAGGAGCCCGTCAATCACAGCGCACGCCGGCCGCCCCAAGAAGGGGCCTCCCGCGGTCGGGGAGAACCCGGGCGACCGTCTTCCACCGCCTCGGCGCCTCACGCCCCGGCCCCGCCCGGCACGGAGCGGGGTCCCCCACATCAGCCATTACCTTCCCCAAACAAATGTGGCACGTGAGGGGCAGAGTGAGCGACAACGTAACGTTCTGCACAGTCTGAGCCATGGCAGCGTTCAGAAGCCCGCCAACCCGGAAGTCCCGCCGACGCGCGCCCGGCCGCGCTTGGCGCCACGTGAGGCCGACTACGGGAGCGCGGCGGGGCCACGGCGCGCCGGGGAACCGGGACGGAAACGCGCTTTCCGAGCGCGCTCCCCGAGGAAGAGGCACACTCCGCGGCAGAAGCTGTGAGGGGTCCTCCGCCTTCCTCCTGCCTCGTGATGAGCCGCCCCCCCCATCGTAGCATGATTTTCGTGGCTCCTTCATCACTGTCATGTTGCTACTGTGATGAATCGGGCGACCCCTGTGAAAGGGTCGTTCGACCCCCAAAGGGGTCGCGACCCACAGGTCGAGAACCGCTGCTAGACTCTAGACAATGGGAAGGAAGGTGGTTTATCATAAGATATTTGAGGGAGGGAAGGGGTGGCCAGGTCGAGAACGTTTAAAGGCAAAAGTAGTTGTGGAGGTAGGAACGGACCCAAAAAGCAGTTTTAAATCCCAAATCTTTCCCCGAAGAGGCACGGGGGAGACTATTGCCTAAATATTGAGGCCCGCACACTCTGTAAACGCACGGAGCAATCAAGACATGAGGCGAAAGACGGTAGAATTCTCAGTGTGTGTGTGTGTGTTGAATTATATTTACAGTATTCGATAATTTATTCGATAATTATATGTTACAATGGAGATGGTCATGTTTTCCTTTAAACCCCAAGGGCCACTAGACTCCAGAATGTTAGTGGTGAACCCTGAGTTGGACACTAAGTATGGTGGGATGAGATGAGTGGCTGAATCTCCCACTAGCTACAGACTCCAATAACCCCAGCACGAACTCCCTTTCCTTCTCCTGAACGTTCGTTCTATTAAATCCTCAACTACCGCCTACCATTTCTACTTCGGAAAGAATTCTCTTCCCCGAAAGAGGCTTCTCTAAAAATCATACTCATGTTTCCCCATTGTTCCTACTCTTTGGACACAAGGGCTCTTAAGGTTCCCTCTCTTGTCCGTAAGCAGAGGGATGCTGCCGGGCAGTGGATTACGGACTGGGCTGCAAACTGCAAGGTCAGGCATTTGAAACCATCTCATTTACTTTTTTTTTTTTTGGTTGAGTTGTGTGTTTTTTTTTCAAACATTTTATTAGGGGCTCATACAACTCTTATCACAATCCAT